TTCACACAGATGAGGGTGATCCATTTGCTTCTTCCCGACAACTCTCCCTTTCCAAGTAATGTGGACGTGAGCCAATTGTTGCATCACTCAGTTTGGTCAGTGAGTGAAGGTCCTCGGTTATTTACGCCCCAAGTAACCTGTCGTACGATAGGACTTACTTCTTTGCTGTCAGGAGTGGAATGCCTTCCTGAACTTGATGTATGCATCTTTGGGTGACTCATCCATCACCGGCAGTAAGCAAAGGCAAAACCTTTTCTACTTACATTTGTTAAGTTTGCCTACCACAGTTCCACATCTGGCCCCTAAACAAGAATAGCATTTCAGAGAATACAACAATATGCACCCAGGCGTTATGCCGACCGATAGACTGTCTTGTAATTTGCTCAAATGATCATGCGATTCAGAAATCCCTCCAAATTACTTAAAGTTCTTGCACCTCACTAAAGGGAAAAAACCGGTCAAACTTTCTGCATCATCTGCCGCACGCAGTGTCCACTAGTGAGGGCTAAACGTCCATCATTTGCTTCTCTAATATGACATTTGCTTATGACGTCTGTAGTTTGTGTCGTGGCATTTGATGGATTTAGGTTTATGTCTCCTTTGCTATTTAAATTTCTTTTACCCCTAGCGCTGGTGTGGGACCTTATAAAATGTCAAAATGCCAATTGTTGGTTGCCTTTATTCTGAGCACATTTCTGTCCAGACATCTATCTGCGTTCCATTTAGCTTTGTGGATAGTGGGGCTGGTTTTTGGAGGATATCAGCTGCCACCTCATCCGTCCATTGTTTTATTTCCTGTTGAGACATTCGTCTATAAAAGACGTCTTGGTGCACCTCTGTTACCAATATGACACCCTGAGTTAGGCCTGCAGACCTAATCAATTACACAAGTGTCACATAAAACTGATAGGCATAAACGAGGGCTGACAGACTGGTTTATTTGTCAAAAATCTCACCCTGAACCTCTGTTTTTGTCTCAAAATTCTCAGAAACCTTATTACTGTCAATACAAAATGTAATGAATTAAAAAAGTGCTTTCTTTACAAATAAGTTTTCCTGGTTTTCATTGCTTCCGCTTTTCAAATCAAATCCTCCCTCGAATGCAGTCCCAAGAGCCCGACTTGGTGTGTACAAGTACAGGAGCCAATCAGAAGTGGTTATTTGTGGTTCAGGCATTTCTGCATGCGGTCAGTGGTTTACGGGGCCGTTTGTGGGGGCCAATCCGACCAATTGGGATTTTTGTGGTTTATGAATTCGAAAGTCGTC